CCAGAGAAGGGGAAATCCACAGGCGTCCATGTGGAACAAGTGGAGAGGCAGGTGCAAGGTGGGGCATTACCTGTGAGCACACAACTGCCTGGTCCCTGAGAACCCGGCGGTGGATTTCAGGGAGCGAGCAGGCGGGGCTGGCAGTACCTGGAGGAGAGGTGCGGAGCTGGCCTTGATCGTTATCTCTCTACTTGTATGACTTTCCCCTGTTGACTCCAGGCTGGGCAAGATGTTTGTCCAGGGCAGCTGTTCCTCTGGGCTGGGACTTGGGGTGCCAGGTGTGCTGCTGCCCTCCAGGACCAGTGTATACAGAGAAACCAGGTTCTCCTGTTCATGTTTAAAAGCGCCAGCTCCGGCTCATAGGGCAGTTAATTTGGCATTAAAAATGCTGCATAAAACATACTATTAAGCTGGGTTCCCTAGAAGAGCTCATAAAGATGCGTTGCGGCGGGTTTTTTTCCCATTCTCTGCAGCGCAGGACTGCAGTGAGCATCTCTGATGCTCCACCCCAGACTCTGGAGAGCAGGAGGCCTCACCTCCTGCTGAAAGGTGAGCCGTGGATCTGTCCCTGAGACCATGTTTTTAAAAATGTGCAGACTTCACAGGAAAGTAACTTCAGGTCTTGTTTTCATTCCATAACAACGTGTGGGCTCTGGACCTGCCCCAGAGCAAGCACGCACCGCAGTGCAGTAAAGATGAAATACAGGACGAGGACGAGATGGAGGAGAAAATGCCATTCGCCAGCCTAACCCCCAAAGGCAGCCCAGTGAGCACCAACCAGGCCTGGACCTCCACACTTCTCAAAAGTAGTGGCAACCGCCAGGGCCCCCGGACTCCTCCCGCCCCGGGCAGGGGTTGTCGACCTATTGTCTGCACCCACTGGCTTGTACCGGGAGCGTGCTTCCTGCTCTCCTGTGATGGTAGCAGACCCATCACTGGCATCCTGGAGGAAGCACAGCCTGCCCCCCTCCAGCTCAGGCGCCAGGCGGTGAGGAATGCGGTGGGCACGGGCTGCCTGGGGAGCTGGGGACAGTCAGAGTCTCCGAGAGCCTCCCGACAGGGCCTGCAGGGCCTTCTCGGTGCTGTTTCTATTCTGGAGAGGAGAAAGGAAGGGCTTGGAGGGAGGGCAGGGAGGCGGATGGTAGAGATAAGCAGGCATCTGCAAGAGTTCTTCCCACACTCCTGATCACTGAACTGACATTTCAGAGATAAGATGCAACACACTCTCAGAACTCATGGATCGGTCATGGTGGCCATTTTTGGAAACCATGTATCTTAGTTCATTTCCTGCAGCTCCCGTTACATGCTACAGAATCAGTAAAGACAAATTAGTGATTTAGTGAGATGCTATCTCAAAAAAAATGAACGTTGGGGGCTGTAGAAGTGCAAAGGCCCTGGGTTCAATCCCCAGTACCTGGAGAAGAGGAAGGAGGAGGAGGAGAAGGTGGGGAGGGAGTGGGAAGGGGAACAGAGGTATATTTGGCTCAGGGTCCTAGAAGCTGTGACATCCAAGGTCAAGGGGCAGAAGCGCTGTGAGGACCTGTCCTGCATGGTCCCGTGGCAGAGGGCCAGGTGGTGTGGACGACCATGGAGCCCTCAGGATGAACCCATCTGTTCACCTGCTGTGATGATGAATTCCTTCCCATGATAACGGCTCTGGTCCATTTGGAGGACCCAACTGGCAGGACCTGATCACCTCTTCAGTGGCCCACCTCTGTTTCTAGGGTGGCAGTGAAATTTCAACCTGAGAGTGGGAGGGGCCGGTCAAGCCATGGCAGCCTGTGCAGTGCCGTGTAGTACAGATGGTACCTGAACAAGCCGGGAGCCCTTGGCAGGTGAAGGTGGCCGGCCTGAGCAGTAACTGCCCGCTGCACAGAGCTCTGCGGTTGGTCTGAGACATGAAGCACAGAGCTGGGAGGGCTGCACAGGGAAGGGCAGAGGAAGGAACATAACCTCCTTAGAAAAGCAGAAACAGGGTATTCGGGGATGAAAGAAGTGGGAGGGAACGGGCTGTAAAGGTTGAGAAAAGGCTCTCTAGTCAGCGTCAGGAATTTGAATCCTGCAGATAAAATGGGTCTAATATCCAGTCTGTTTTCAAATACAAGTTGGATAATGGTTTCATATATTAGTGAGTGGGGAGCAGCCAGTGGGGAGGGCCGTAGTGGTGGCTGATGGTGGACGTCAGCCATCCCCCGGGGAGCAGGTCCTGACCAGAGGCAGTGTGGGGTGGAGGAGCGTCAGAGAACAAAGACCCACGCAACAAGAGACTGAGGGGAAGGGGGCATCGGGAGGCGGGGAGGTGTCTGGCTGGGTCCACCAGCTGGATTCTACCTTTGAAGGCGCCAGAGATACCCGAGGGAACCCCTTCTTCCTTCTGGGAGCTTGAGAAAGATGAGGGACACTCATCTCCCCTTCCTCATGCTTCCAGAAAGACAGAGAGGCCCTTCAGAACTCTGGAGATAAGGGACTCATTACCTTACTCATTTATTATATTTTCTCACCTGGGAGCAGACCGGGCCTGGGGAGTTAGCTTTAGAGGTAACAGATGAGAACAGGATGACCCGGTGGAGGATCTATTACTGGCTCGGTCTTCTTCAATCTGACATTTCATTTATGAGAGGGGAGAAAATGAACCAGAATCTTTTCTGCTTGAAATAGATGCTCGCTCTTCTCTTGGAAATCACTGATCAATAAACATTTAGATGGAGACCTCGTTCCCATCAGCGCTCCGCGCCATCTGGAGAGCTGGCACTTGCAAAAAGCCAGGTCCTTCCTTCTCTTCGGGGCTTGGGAGCTGAAGGGTTCCCAGTAATGCAGCCCAGGGAGGTTGAATGTGCCTCTTCTTGCTTTAATCATATTCTGGAACAGTCCTGGCCCATCACCAAACACTAATGGACATTCTTGTGGCTATGAGCCCTTCACTGACCTGATAGGACTGTTCAAGTTGGATAGGATTGTTCGAGTTTGACTTGTAAACAGGTAAAAGGGAATGCTTGACCTTGGGCCATGGACCCAATTAAACATCATGAGCTATTTCTGCAACGCCAAATTGTAGACACCTGCTCAGGTGCTTGGAAGTCTTTTAAATCATGGGTTTGTAAACAAAGAAAAGAAAAGAGCTACTTGTCTTTCCACTGTGCCATTGGCCACAAGCTTTTACATCTACTAATGCCATCTCCTCCACTGAAAAATTATTTTACCCTGTTCCTGGTTCATTATGTCATTCTTAGCTAATAGAACAGAAGCATCCGTCTTTAAAAGCCATGTTGACAGCAGGTCCATACATGTAGATTTCCACAGAGAAAAGGAAAGAAAGTCTAGTACGATGCATGCAGCCTGAGCTTTAATTGCACATAATTACTCTGGATAATCTGTAGTGCTGGTGGCATATTTGTTTTTATCCATTCCCCTGAGACTGGTAGCTATTAAAGAAGAAAGCCATCATTTTTCCACACAGAAGTCTTGCATGTTAGTTTTGTGTTTTGAAACATAAATTTCAATAAGCATACATGTTGTGAGATCCTTTGAGACAATAAATCTTGTCTTAAACATTCTGATGCTTTGAAACTGAACAAGTCTAAAATGTTTTCCCAAACAACCTACTTAGGGTTGCCATCTCTAGCAAATTAAAATACAGTGTGCCCAGTTAAATTTCAATTTTAATTAAGCAGCAATTTTTTTTAGTACAAGTATGTCCAGTATTTGGGACATACTTGCACTCAAAAAGAAGTGTCACTTCTCGGATGTTCAAACTGGCTGTCTTTCATTGTATCCAGTAAGCCTATGCCTTCTATAATTTGAGGATTAATATACAAATCAAACACCTCTGGTATCCTCAATATTTTTGCAGAAGACAATTTCAACTACAGGGCTACTTTCTTTGGAAAGAGAGCCCCTTTCTGTTGCCAGAGTGCTTTTGATGAGATTCTGTCATCTAGACTCTTAGTAAATGAGCACAGAGACACACACATTAATCCTCTGAGGAAAAGAAAGTGGTAAGAAAACAATGAATTTCTGCAGACACGTGGAAAGATGAATCTCACTCCATCTCACTCGTGACATGCAAAACAGAATGGCGATCCCACATTCTGGGGCAGCAGAGCAGGTAGGTTTCTGTTTCAGTCATTTCAATGCCTTAGCATTATCTAACATAAATCTTCGGTTATGAAGATCTTAGCTAGGACTGTAATATGCTCTAAATTTGGGTCTTTTGGAGCCATTTCTCTAAATTGCGTTTGACAGAGACAAAAGAATCCACTTACATTTCAATGAAAATTGCTTTACTATTAGACAGACCCTTTTAAACCCGTGTCACTTCGCAAGGGGAAGCTGAGGAGAGCACTTAGCATTCTTTTCATAGGTTCCCATGTAGAAAAGAGCTCCTATTTTTCCACTTCTAAATTCCTCTGGAAAGTTGCTGACCTTCATTTCTGCTCTCCCAGCATGGGAAGATTAAGGGAGTGGGGAGCCATACTTGTACATGAAGTCATTTAAAGATCCGAGAGCCCAATTAATAAAGACATTATATGGCATCTATACTAATCCAACACTTCATTCATCACAAACCTGGGAAACAGTATTAGTACCCACTCCTGAGGGGAATGAAGACCATGTGTGAATCTTGGAGGGAGATTGACCCTCTGCTCCCCTAGGGAAGGAAACCAGTGCCCAAAGTGGGACACACCCGGAGCAAAGTCACATCAAATACAAGACACAGTGAGTCTCCCACCCAGCTTCCCCACAATTAATTGCTTGTGTGTTACTAATTCACTCTACAACTGAAAGTCATTTGCATATCTTGCATAGCAACAAAATCCAGTGCACCCATATTCATAAACACACCACTTAACCACAGCCCAGGTATCCACTGGAGAACGAAAGGATGAACCAAATGTAATGTGGACACACAGCAGGACACCATTAGGTCTCAACATGAAGCACGTTGGCACATGCTAACAGAGGGAAATAAGGACACTGTGCTGAGTAAGGTAAACCGCACATAAATGGACAAATAGTGTAAGCTTTTATTTATATGCCTTACCTAAAGTAGTCTGGTTCCTAGGGACAGGAAGGCAATGGTGGGTGCCAGCTGTGGGGACAGAGAAACAAGGACAAGTGCACACTCAGTGGGCACCAAGCTTCAGTTCTGCAAGATGAAAGAGGTGCTGGAGATGAGCCCACAGCAAAGGGAATGCACTGAACACTCTGAGCCGCACACTTAAAACAGGATAAAATGGTCAATTCTATGTCATACCTATTTTACCAGTTTAAAGTAAACATTACAGTTTAGACCTGGACTATCTCCTCAAGGCCTCACGCACTCAGAGGTGGGGCTTGTGGGAGGCAATTGGATTACTGGGTTATGGACAGAAGAGGCGGTCATTGGAGGCATGAGCTGGAAGGGTCCCTCTCCCTCGCTGGCCCCTCCCTTCTCTCTCTGCTTCCTGTCCACCATGAGGTGAGCAGGTGTCCTCTGCCCTGGCTCTTCCACCAAGTTTTTCCTGCCTTGGAGCCAGTTGACCACAGACCTGAAACCTGAGCCAAACAAATTGTCTTTAAGCTGTTGGAGTTGAGCACTGCATCACTGCAATGAGAAAGGAACTAACACAGGAGGAAGAGCTCTGATCCAGAAGACTACAGTCTTACCAATCAGAAGTGTGTAAGAATCAGGAGTGGGCCTATGGAGTCCAACCACATGAAGTATCAAAAATGGCTAAAAGGTGTATTTGTACAACCAGACCACAGTGGCTCTGCGTATTTGCACAGGACTTTTAGATAGTGTCTGGTATCAAGATCCAGAAAGAAGGACTTGTGATATAGGTCCATGGTAGAGTGGTTGCCTAGCATGCTTAAGGCTCTGGATTTGACCCACAGCACCAGGAAAATTAAAAATGTAAAAAGAAGTTCATAAAGAGAAAGACAGCTAGAACAGTGCTCACAACGTTCAACCTCAGACTCTCTCTTCTGGGACTCTTTCCAAAAGAAAAGTGACATGAATAAAGCTGTGCTCGTCCTATTGACAGGTAGCACAACCTGATGCCCCACCACTGCTGAAAATGTTAATAAATCATGGCTCCCCCACTCAACAGATCAATAGCCATGTAGCAGTACAGACATGCTCATGCTCATCTGGACACAAAGGTAGATGTGTATTATAATTCTAACTGTACCTACTAGGCAACTTTTCAGCGTTGATATAAGTAAAAAAATTTATTTGTGCCAGCATAGTAGAATAGAATTTTCTTCTGTTTTCTAAACTGTCTTTTATGATACAGTCCTTTGATAGATTCTGAAAGTCTGAAATTTGTTTCTAGAACAATGATGTCTTTTAAGAAAGGAGGCGCAGTGGTTTTTGGTAGCTTGGAGGGAGGTAGGCCGGGGAGCTGTAGATAAAAGCACCAAGAAGGACACCCTTCCCATAATCTCTCACGGCACCTTGCCATTTTGATCAGGAGGTTCCATTTGGTCCAACTGTCTGCCATTTTGTTCAGGAGGGTCCATTTGGTCCTGCCACCTCCAGCATTTTATCAAAATAAAAATGCCTTGGAAAAGTTGCATTTCAAACACCCTTGTGTGGCTCTTTGGGCCTTCTTTCTTGGCCTTCCAAACTGGCTGTCACTCTGAAGCTCTCCTCCCCAGCCTGTCCGCAGCACCCTGTTGATGACACCCAAGTACCCTGAACCCCCGTGGAAGCACCTCACAAAGGATGAGCTGCCTGTGGTGCAGTTATTCGCCCAGTAGCTGTCCCCACTCCCCAGGTTTGTCAGCTGTGGCTCTGCCCTTAGGACTCAGCATTAGCACAGAGCAGCAGAGAGCAGCCTTGAGATACATCTCTTGTAAGGGCCTGGGTTAGTCAGCAAGCAGCTTGGAAGAACAATGGTCTTGGAAGTTCAGCAGGACAAGAGGCTGAACTAAGCACTGCCGCTCTCCCTGCTCTGTGTGCTGTGGTCATAAAGTGAACCATTCCACCCAGGCTCCCATTAAAATATCAGGTGAAGAGGGTCTACCAGAAGCTCTCAAAATGTAAAAACGAACTAAGGATTAAATGTACAGTTTTTAAGATCTGATAAGTCAGAAAAATAAAAGGCATATCATAGATCTCAACTCTCCATATTTCAGTCATAGTAGTCACAAGTAAAATACTGCAAACTTTTCTTAATTGATGTTTTTAAAAGAATAAGCACTTTTTATGCAAAACAGAAGCAGCTACACCTTCTTTCTGGTGTTTTAGCAGGATGTACTCACTAGGTGGTATGTACAGTGTTTCCCAAACATCTTTTACCTTAACTTTAAACTTATTAAATATTGTTTATACATGAATTATAATGCCTAATAACAATCCTTCATGAAGTTGTGCTTTGCGACTAATACAGTCATATAGATTTTCTCTGTAGGAAGAAATCTAGAAGGAAACAGGAAAAGTGGTTAGACTGTATGCATGTTCCAGGAATGAGTTTTCAGGTTCTGTGTCAGCATTAGAAGTTATAACAGAACTATAGGCCCAGTGACCTTCCTAAAGTTAAATCTGGCCCATATTGCAACTAAAATGTATCCACTGCCTTCCTCCTCCATAGGAAAATAAAATAAAGTCATGATTTATTGTATTACAAGTGATTTAAACTGCAGCATTCCATTTTGTCATTTTTCTGTGATGAAAAAAACAGTTGTAAAGGGCTTTGTCTAAGGTCAAAGGATTCAACACCACTTGAAAAGTCTTGTCTTGGCTGGTGAAAGTTGAGAGGTTTCAAAATATTTCAGCATAAACTGGGAAATCCTCTAGTTCCTTTTTCTCATTGAACAAAATACTCCACAATGAAGAGGAGCCTAAAATTCCCCCTCTAGGAAACAGTTTCTGGGGATGAAACCATACAATCGTCTGTCTTCGGCATATGGTACGTACACTAACACCATGGTGCAGTGTCACATCCACTGCTGACTGCAGGAAATGACTGGAGTTTTTGTTGTTGTTCTTGTTGTGGTTGTTGTTATCAATTCGGTTCACCCTTGAAGGATGTTTGATGTTTTCCCATGAATTCCAAAAATAATTCCTCCCTAAAGACTGCCTTTTTCTCCTTTTTCCTGTTGCTGACTGGATGACTTGGAATCAATGGATCCTAAAGCATCAAGTAAGTCCATTTAGACGATGTGTCTCCATGGGACCCCAGGGAGCTAAGTCTCTACTACAAACAATAAACTGAGACTAACCAGGCAGTTTCTTGCCTGCGGTAACACAACACAGCGGACTTTCCAGGCTGACGTTTCAGGAAGGGGAGCCAACATCTGCTCTCCTTGGGTCTAAGTGAATTACTCTTTACTCAGCAAAACCACCTTTTCATTCCTCCCCTACATAGCTAGTGTTTTAACTGACAAGGAATACTCACAGCAATATTTGTAAAGCAATGATTCCTTGATTGATGCTAATGATTTCCAGATGTCCTAGTCTCTCCTCCTTTCTTGATCTAGCATTTGAACATCTCCTTCAGCGTATTTCATATTTTACAACCAAAGTCCTTCTTGTGTGAAATGCTTGCAGAGCTGGACTCCAGTATGGGCACCTAAGCCAAGAATGACAAGGAACATGTTAATTACGTAACCATGTGAAACATGGAATAAAATAACAAGAATAATCTTTATGAGGAAAAGTCTTCCTTCAAAAATAGTACGGTGGTTTCTCAAAAAATGTGAAATATAATTACTATAGGATTTGACAATTTTATTCCTGTGTATAAACCCAAAATAATTCCAAGTAGGGTCTAGAAAGGATATTCATATACAAAAATTTATTACAGTATCATTCACAATAGCCTAAATGAGAAGCAACCCAAGGGTCTACAGATAGATAAAGGGACAAAATGTAGTATATCCATACATGCAGTGGGATACTCATCAGCCTTAAAAAGGGGGAGAAATTCTAGTGTATTATAAGGGGATGGACCTTGAGCACAATATGCTAAGCAAAATAAGCCATTCACAAAAGCACAAGCAGCATAAGGTTCCATGTACATGAAGTACCTAGACAACCAGACTCCCTGAGACAGAATGTAGAATGTGTTCACCGGGGTCTGGGGAGGGGGCCGGAAGTGTGAGTTGCTACTCAGGGCAGGCACAGTTTTACTTTACAAGATGGAAAGCATTCTAGTGTGGGATTGTAGGGGCTTAGCACCGCCATGGTGCACACTAACCCTTGGTTAAGATGGTTAAGCATGGTTAAGCTTTACTGTAGGTGTATTTTACCACCACTGGAAAAAAATGTTCTCCCTTATCATCTTATCTTGAGGGATGGAACAGTCCCATCCCAAGGACAACAAGCCTCCCTGGGAAGGAAGCAGAGGGCTACTTAGCTGTCTGTGTGTCCCTGGACAGGGAGGTGGCTGCAGTCTCAAGTGTAGGCACAGGCATGGGAGCCTGGGGTCAAAACACAAGAAGCACAGGGAAAGGAGGCTGCGCACAGCACAGCAGGCCCCCGGGAACAGGCATCCTCCAAGGGGAAGTGGCCTCATGTCCCAAGCTGGTACATGTACGATTAGCAGAGACCGCTGAAGGTGGGCTGGATCTAGAGAGAGCGCTGGTCTCCCCAGAGGAGCTCCATGGAAATCAGAAACCCAGAAAGAAGTTCAAGCAGCAGCTGCTTCTGAGCATTCAGGGTCTGCTTTATGCTCCTTACTTCGTGGGAACCTCACGAGACTGAGAACTGCTCTTCGCCTGTACCAGGTGGTCAGCAAGTGTTCATAGGTTGGCTCATTTGATGCTCCCATGTCCTGTGAGCTAAGCCCTATTACGAATATATTTTACAGATGAGGAAACTGAGGCCCAGGAAAGGCACAGCTCTACAGGTGGGGGGATAGGAACTATTAAATCTCCATTCCAAGGAGAGAAACAGAGGGTGAAGGGTTCAGTCCATTTCCCAGGCCCCACAGTACAGCGTCGAGTTGATCCAGAAGGCTGAGACTCCTGCTCCAGAGGCTGGAGCATAATCGCTGAGCTATGCCAGCTCTGCACCAGCTCCCAGGAGGCAATTTTCTGTCTCAGCCCGGTATGTGCACATGGTCAGTCACTCCCAGGGCTAGACTCTGCAGGGATTGCGGTGAGCATCCCAGAACAAATTCAAGACTCACCCTCACCCTCTCCACCTCAGCCACTCAGGCTTTAGTGCCTTAGAGACCAGTGCAGGCCCGATGTGACCAGGATGGCTCAGGATCTGAGTGGGCCGAGGGCAGGAGCTCTGCGAGGTGGACCCCTTGGAGGAGAGGCCCACCACATGCTCTCAGCAGCACACACAAGGAAGAAACACTCTCTATTCCATAGATAATGTTAACTTGCTCTTGCACCAACATCAACTACCGATTTCACTCCATTTTGATTCCCTTTTCCATTTAAAAACATACATCTCTGGTCTAGAAGATCTTCTTCCAGAGCGAAGCTGCCTGGAGGCCCGGATGCTATAAGTTTCACTGTTTCATAAACCGTCCAGCTTTGACATCTATGCATGCAGCTTACTTCCAAGTATGAGGTAAAACACAATTTGCTATATCTTGCACTGAAATCATTTCTGCATCAAATCTTTCTGAGCCCGGAGAAAATCTCTCCTGATCAAGATTTTTGGCCAGTCTCATAGGACGAGGCCTCAGATCACTGACAAAGAGTTTAAAGTCAAGTGAAAGAAATAAAGAATTTAATACCATGGCTGTGATAGTCAGCTATTGGTCACCATAAGTAATGCCCCAAATGATTAACTTGTAAATGAAAAAGATGTATTTTGGCTCACAGCTCTGGAGGTTCCAGTCCAGGAGGAAGCTGTCCTCTGTTGCTTTGGGCCAGCACTGAGACAGCACATAGTGGCGGGAGTCAGAACTTATGGCCCGGAAGTAAGAGAGAGAGGAAGGGGTGGGGCCTCAGGATCCCCTTCAAGGACAGCCCTACTGACCTCAGCAGCTCTTACCAGGCCCTCTCCTTTTAAAGACTCCACTACCTCCCATTTGTACCTGGAGACCAAGCTTTTGAACATTCACAGTCCAAATGATAGCACTGCTCAGCATAAAAACAGCAGAGGTGTTCACGCTTCCCTCAGCAATCCCTCTAAGACAACAGGATCAACTCCTGGCATTCTAAATCCCCTCCGACCTGAAGCTTTCATTGCTGTGCTTGAAATTTAGCTTACAAAAAAATGAGCTCACTATCTAAGGCTGTAGCTGTGCTTCACATTCTGGAGGAATATCCATTTAGTGCACAACATATTGCAGTTAAGAGTAGTTCCATTTTCTTCCCTTGTGTGCTTTAGGCACTGATTTCAAATTAAAAGTTGCCTGCACTAATACCTTAGTAACACTGCTCATGCCACTTGATTATAAAGGATAACAGTAGCTTATACTTTGTCATACACACTGTCTATCACCTGGTGTTTTCTGTTCAAAATAGAGAAGTAATAACCAGTGTGCAATCATAACCAGGCCTATGGCCTAAAAAACGTTAATTCCACCTTGTAAAATTTCTCAGCCTTAGAACTCTTTTCTCTGGTAACAAATTTACCGTACATTCTTAGCAATAGAAAATGTAAGATCATTGGGAAATAGTTATAAGCTGAGAAAAAGATATGTAAGGTAGGATTTTTTCAATATTATGAAATAAATTAGTGCTGTATCATGCCACATTTATTTCTGGAAATTATTTGTTTCTAGTATTTTCAATAATCTAAGTTTTGGAAGATTTTCCCACTGCTTTGTTCTGAGAACTTGATTCACTAATTTCTCAAGTGCTGGGTGATATAAAATAAAAGATCTGTCTTTGATGCCATTGTGGGAAGAGATTTTTCAGGCATGATCATTTACGTTAATGACTTTGTTATGGCACCCTATAACTAGAGGAACAGAAATTTAAAATGTAGAAAATGAGGGCATCATTATCACTCCAACAACGTTAACCTCCTTTTCTCTATTTCCAAATTTGTGTTTGACTACCAACAAAGGAACCAGTCTCTACGCTGATCTTGGAACCGGGGGTGTAGCTCAGTGGTACAAGCCTTGCCCAGCACATGCAGAGCCCTGGATTCCATACCCAGAACCACAGGGAGCAAAGAAAGTGAAAACATTTCAGTGTAGAAATGGTTGCACTGAACCGAGAATGGGAGACTGGCTCCAGAGTGGAAAGTATACAGCAAGCAGGGTAAGAGTTGGTGTTTGTCTTCACTTTTCACAGGGCCCTTTCCATCTCTGGGCTTTCCTGTGCCTATGAGCCAGCTCTTGAGGAGTCTATTTTAACACCCACAGTCACGGTAAGAGCTCTTTCAATAAGCAGAGAGGAAACAGCTACAGTGGTAGCGTGATTTCAAGCAAAAACTCAATTCCCCTCCAGAGGCCGACAGCATCTCTGTGCATGCTAAATTCCCTACATGGCTTGGATCTGCTAGCCTTTTATTGGGTCTGGAAGAGAATAAAATGCAGATTTGGGTTTTTAGGTCCTTTATCTGTCATCAGAAGAATATTTAATGGGCTTTACGTAATTCCTTAAAAGATGACACCAAGAATAACCTAAGAAGCATGCACTTAGATTTGCTTAATTTCATCCAAATACAGCATTAGACATGACTGCATCTATTTGTACGTCCTGAAATATTCCAAGTTCGTCTTGAGTGAAACATTGAATGTTGTTCTTTCCACTATGCCCTAACTTTTGAGTACCTGTTTGTTATGGTTTCCTACAGATGAGCTCTTTTCCTAGGGTACGTAGAGAGTGTTTACAGAATCTTCTACAGAGCTTTCAAAATACAGGAGCTCCATTTCCTGTCTGATTTCTACTAACTCCACTGCTCTGGAGTGGGGATCAGGCCTGTAGGGTCCCTCACAGTTACAGTGATCACTCTGATGGAAATCATTAGCATTTTATAAACACATGTTAAGCATACTGTATGCTGTAATGAAATATTCTTAAAATCTTCAACATGGATCTTAAATGATAGGGGAATAAGAAAATTACTCTTTATCTTTTTTTGCACAAACCACCTCTCTTCTTCTGGCATCTGAGAAACAAGTAACAGTGTGGGAATTTTGCTGCTATCATTGATCAGCCTAAAATGCTAGTTTGAGGGATGATGCCATTTTTCAAAGCCCAATATTGCTTTTTAGTGCACCTATGAATGAACTCTTTCAGGTTCTATTCCCAATGTCTATTTTCCAATTTCTGACTCTTTTTGCAGTTTGGACACACAATATATTCTTAAAATAGCCTTAAAAACTGCCTGAAGACTCTCTGAACAGGACTCTGGAGAAATGCTACGAAGTGTGCATCACAAATTCCAAGCAATATGGATTTTCTTTTTAATTCTTATTACATCATTGGGGGTTGAAGCAGCTGCCTTAAGAGAAATTCTTTCTCTCCCTCCCACCTCAAATAAGTAATGAAGGCTTAGAAGCTGTTTAAGATGCTGAGACCTGGGGGAATAAAACTCACAGGAGACTTAAGCTTTTCAAAAGTGCAGACCTTCTCAAAAGCAGAATACCTAATTCAATTTGCAGAAAAGTTTATGTGTTTTAGAGAAACCCACTCACCTCCCACTCTGTCCCTACACATGCGTAAAATAGAACATTCAGCTTTGAGTGTCACAGTCAAGAGGAAACCGCAAAAAGGAGCCTCAGATGTGGGCATGATAATGGAAGCCTTCAGAGTAAATATTATCTGCCTGTGTCCTGCTAGAGGATTAGTGAGCTAAAAAATATTTGCCAGAATTCTCGCTTCTTATAACAGGGAGATAATGTGAAATGGACCACCTTTATGCTAAAAAAAATCCTTTATTAAATCCGTTGTTTTAGATACTGGGCTCTAGCATTTTCTAATGGCAACATAGCTTAATAAGACTCACTTCCCCAAGATAACAATGTCGGCACAAGGAGAAAGTGAAATAATTACTTGGAGTATTTGAAATGACCTAGAGCAGTCAGATCTTTGAAAACTCAAGCAAAGGACAAGTGTGTGACTTTTTACAAGTCTGTAACATTCCTGAAATCTCGATTCATGTAAGCAGCCGAATTTGGCAGTGTTCCTGGTTTGGTGAACCAAAGGGCAGAGCTTAAAACTCACAGACAACCCTACAAGTTATGAGAAAAATTCTGGAAGGAAGAGAGTCTTAGGAGTGAGCCTAAATGTCTACGTGTAAAAATCTGATTAAATTCTTGACAGACTTCTAACTAAAGACATAAAGGGGACATCTTGGGCTGGAGGGGTTCAGACAAAAAGTAAGGGCTAGAATCTGACAGAACAGGCCAGGGACTTCAGTGGCTGCTCATGACAGGGAAGACTATTGGGAATGTCAGACCAGCCAAGTTAATTGCCAGCTACAAGAGAAGCCACTGTTCAGAAGAATGTCACAGAACCAAGAGTCTTCGCATTGTGTCATTCCTAATGGCCATTATCTAATCATAAATCATCAGAGCTAAAAAGAAACAGGAAAATATGGCGCATTTCATTTTAAAAGCACTCAGGGTAAGCAGACCCAAAGGTGGCTGAGTCACTGTGGTCAACAGAGAAGAATTTTAGTGCTGCTCAAATAAGCAATGCAGACTACCACAGCATTCTAAGTCACTTCAGGCACCACTGAGAACTGTCAGCCCTTGCATGACAGTAACATCAATAAACAGATGCAACTCACTGGACCCTCACATATCTGGTTTAATGATTTTCAACAAGAGTGCCAAGACCATTCAATAAGGAAAGAAATCTTTTCAATAAGCAAAATTCAAAATTGAAAGTCCCATGTAAAAGAATGAAACTTACATATATTGCATAAAAATATCAACACAAAATAAATCAAAAGCATAAGAACTAAGACGACAAAACACTTAGAAGAAAACCTAAGAGGAAAACCTAAGGTGATGTTGAATTTGGCAATGATTTCTTAGATATGATGCCAAAAGTACAGGCAAGAAAAGTAAAGAAAGAAATTGGGCCACATCAAACTATAAATGTACTACACATCCAAAGACAGTCAGTGAAATGAAAAGGCAACTCAAGGAATGGGAGAGAAATACTTGTTTTGGGGTTTTTTTTGTTTTGTTTTTCTTCCAGTACCAGGAATCGAACTCACGACCTTGCGCTTGCCAGGCAGGCACTTTGCCACTGAGCTAAATCCCCAGCCCCTGGGAGAGAAATACTTACAAATCATATATTTGATAAGGGATTACTATGCAGACTATATAAAGAATACCAGCAACAATGTAAAGCCCAATATGCCAATTTAAAAATGGATAAGGGGTTTGAACATATATTTAGCCAAAGAAGATATACAATAGGCCAACAAGCATATGAAAAGGTTCTCAGTCATTAGCTTTTGAGGAGAGACAACTCAAATTCGCAGTGAAATATCACCTCCTAAATATTAGGATGGTGTTATGGTTGTCTGAAGTGTCTTCCAAACACTCATTGTGTTGAAGGCTTGATTGCTGTTGGGTTTGGGGGAAGTGATTGCATCACAAGGATTTGAACTTCACAGCAGAATGCCTCACTGATGGGATCATAATTTGATGGCATTATTAGGAAATGATGGAAACAGGAGGTGGGCCTACTTGAAGGAAGTGTATCATGAGAATGTGGCCTTGGGGACAACATCTAGTCCTCAAGGAGGACTTTCCCCCTCTCTACTTTCTGATTGCCGTGAGGGGAGAAGCTTTGCTTTACCACGCTCTTCACCCATGATGCTCTGCCTCTCCTGAGGCCCAGAGCAATGGAACCAGTAGACCATGGACTGACACTTTGGAAACCATAAGCCAAAACCAATCTTTCCTCCTCTAAGTTTATTTTCTCAAGGATTTTCTCAGCAGCAAAATCTAACACAGATGACTACTACTTCAAAAAACACCCAAACAAAAATAACAAATATTGGCAAGGATTAGAGAATTTCGAGATCTTATGCATTGTTGGTGAAAATATAAAATGTTGCAACCACTATGGAAAACAACATGGCCATTCCTAAAAAATAAATAAATAAATAAACATAGAATTATAATATGATGCTGAAATATCACTTCTGAGTGTACATCTAAAACGACTGAAAGAAATTTTAAAAAATGCAATTGAAAGCAGGTTCTCAAAGAGGCATCTATATGCCCATGTTCATAGCAGCAGTATTCATAATAAATAAAAAGTAGAAGCAGTGAATGAATGGAAAGTGTTCATCAGTGAATGAATGGATAAATATAACACATCCAAACAATGGAATATTGTACAAATATATAATGCATATATACACATATATACGAATATATAATATACAATGTTATATAATACATATATAATTTGTATACTATATATATTTGTATATACATATATTTTGTATATACAAATATATAATACATATATACATACATATATACGTATATGCATGATATATACATACATATATATGTATTTGCATATATACATATAATATGTCCAAATAATGGGATATTATTTGACCTTAAATAATAGGCAATTCTGACATATGCTACAGTGTGGATCAATTTTGGGACCATTATGGAAAGTGAAATGAACCAATCATGAAAAGACAAACACTGTTTATCCACTTATAGAGATACTAGGGCACCCTAGGTGGAAGCAGAGGGTAGAATGGGGGTTGCTAGGGAATGGGAATGGGGGCAGGAGAGCTACAGTTTAGTTAGGCATAGAGTTCCAGTTGTGGAAGATGAAAACATTCTGGAGATTGCCTGCATAGCCATGTGTTTTTAATGAACATTACTGAGCTGTACAGTTAAAATGGCTATAGAAGGTAAATTTTATATTATGTGTATTTTATCATTATTAAATATTTTATTTTTTAATGTTTCTACCATAATGAAATGACAAATGTTTGAGGAGATAGATGAGTTTACCCTCATTTGAATGCTGCCCAATGTATACGTACATCAAAATATGGTACACCATAAATCTACTTAATTTCTATGTACACCTAGCAGTCAGAGGCTGAACGAGAAGGGTCATGAGGTCAAGCCCAGCCTGGGCTACACAGTGAGTTCAGTGAGAACCTGGACTACGTAGTAAGATTTTGTCTCAAAAACACAAATAAACCAGTAAATAACACATTTTGTGAAAAATGTGTTTTTAGCATAAGCTTCAATTTATACATAAAATCTCCATATTGAGACACATTTTACATTTGATCCCATTATGTGAGCTAGAGCCAAAGCTATAAGAACCACTGTAATTAAATTAAATTTCATGACTCAGAAAAGTCCAACTGTCCACACTCAGAGATATGGGATGAAGGAAGCCGACCACTTCTCAACTTACATGACCAGGGAAATGCTCCAAGATTCCATGTTGGTGGAGAACATAGCTTTCTTATACCTTTCAGATGTGGAAGAAAACAAGCATTTCTGACCTTTTCCATGTATAAAAAATGCAGCAAAGCTAGGACTGTGGCAATAAAACTGACCTCGTGTCTTTCTACACCACCACCACCAATATCCCTCCAGTCTATGGAATGAGGGCTTTCACTGCAAAGCAAGAATCCAAACCAAGAAAACCTGGGACTCTGTTTCTTAATACAGTGTAAGAGTGATCCCCAGCCCAGCAATCTGGGGCCCTCCTGGAATCTCAACAACCACTGCTGGTGGAGCCCAGCAATCTGTGCTTGAGGAACCCAGTTGAAAGCTTCAGAACTAATTCTAACCTCCAAGTTTATCACCACCCACGGTGCCTGGGCTGAGAAGAGGGGCAGGAAGTGCAAACAAGGAAGGAAGATAGACAGTAAATGTCTACCTTGGAAGCCACCAAATGGGAAGGACAAATGAACAAACAGAAAACTAGATCAATAGTGAATTTTTATGTAAATATGGTGTGATGGAAATACAGTGAATGTTAAGTATTTTTAAAAAATTGATTACTCTAAAAGACACATTGTCATGAATCACCCCAAATCCTTCCTCTCACTTGTAGCACTCTTTTGCCATGGTTCTTGACACTTTCTGAAGTAGATCTGGAGTCCTCTTTCCTAGCTGTCTTTAGTTGCACTGTCATGGCTGCCTTGATGTTCTAACTCCATTGAAATATTTACCTTTCATGGTCATTTTGACTTTGGGAAAGAGCCAAAAGCCACGGGTGCCAGATGTGATGAATAAAGTGGATCAAGACACACTGTCCTATATTTAGGAGCTTGCCTTTCTGTTGGATGGTGCTCAGCAGCAGCATTCACCATAGCTTTGATCAGACTTCATAAAGACTCTCAAGGAAGAAGACATCCAGAACTGCTTCTGAAAGTGGCAAGAACAATGGGATGAGTACACATAAAGTGAGGGGGAGAGTTTTGAAGGGGGTTAATGGCATTGTGTCTTTTGCTGTAATAATTTTTTTAATATAAGCATTACCCTATGTTTTGATTACACCACATATAGGTGTGACCCTATTTATTTCTCACAGTTACCCTGTGAAGTAGACACTGCCACGACCCCCATTTTATCGGTGAGAAAGCAGGTTTCTGTGGGTTCAGTATCTTGCCTGTGCTCAGCCAGCTGGAGTCAGTAGTGACTCTTGAATTCAAAGCCTGACTCTCTCAGGGGACAGTGTCCTGTGTTAGGGGGCTGCTCCTGGACAGCCTGAGTCCCCAGCCCAGAATCATCTATGACTCACCTTGGTCCTTTACGGCTTGAATGTTGCACAGTCTGCTTCCACTTTTTGCCCATCATTTCTACTAAGAGCACCTACCTCACACCTTTTTCTTCCTCCAGGTTTCACTCCTCTGGCAGAGGAATTTACACGTGACTTTAAACCTTCAGATCCCAGTTTAAAATTCCTGAGTGTCAGTGATCATCTCTTGTTTTCACATCCTCTGCCCGCATAGCGTCACTCTGCAAGAATGGATTAAAACCCCCTCCTCCCCTCCTTTCTCAGACCCCTCTGACAACAGGAAGTTGTCAGTATCCCTCTCACAAATGTATTTCTCAGTATCCCTCTCACAAATGAATTCCCTCCTCCCTAGCTGGTCAGTCTCTTCCCCATCTCAGCAACCTCCTGTGGTCGACCAACCTCCTTTTGTGGTTCACGTTGCCTCTGGCCGGGCAGATCCTTCCCGCTCTCTTCCACTTTCCACCCATGTGAATTCCACTTCTCATCACTTCTAGGTTTGACTTCATGGACACCTTCCTGCTCTGGGCTCCTGAAGCTCTCACTGTCTGCTGCAGTGGTGTCTCAACTTCACAGAACAAGAACCATGTGGGTGAAATACCAGAGCCTGCACATGTGTAAACTACAGAAACTCACGACCGGGTGGACACTGTAAATGGACACTTGAAAGCATCACAACAATAGAAATTAAAGGTTCTTGAGACATGAATATTAATAGTTTTGGTGTTTTTCTAGTTGCTCCTCAAAAGATTATGCTGAAAACCTTGGGGTCATGACCCTAATCCAGGCCCTGGACACTCATGCTTCATCTTATGCCTGGGCTTTCCTTGTTCAGTTTGGCTCTGTATCAAGCATGTGTGTGTGTGTGTGTGTGTGTGTGTGTATGTCTGTGTGTGTTTTCAGACAGGGTTTCCCTGTGTAGCCCAGGCTGACCTTGAACACTGGAGTAATTTTAAAAACACATACATGGGAACGGACATTGTTTTAGGTGACTAATAAGAAGTATCACACAGGAGGTTCCCAAACTATGCTGAATGTAACACTACTGAAGTCCCCTGCACTCCATGCACATGTTGAGCCTTCAAAGCTACTGTTGGATCATAGCTCTGGTACTCTCATGAAGCAGGACAGTAGTGGTTTAGTTCCACCTAACTCCAAAGGAGCTCCAGGCAGTTAATGTGTCTCATGTCCTCCAGGCAGCTGGGGGTTTCCAGAATAGTCTGTCTTGCAGCCCAAGAAAGAATAAATTACTCCACCACATCTTGGTGAATGAAGAATGGCGTGGCTCCATCACCTCCTACCCATCTTCCCTGCCTCTCTTTACCCCTGCGAGCCACCCCAGGGTACCAGGAAATCCAGGAGTTTCCCTGAAATACTTAGAAAAATAAAGGGTGACATTATGCATCTTGGACAATGTCTAACAAAAAAAAATGTAGTGCATAAAAGACATTCTTTTTCTCTAAAATAATTTCAGTCCATCACTCTTCAGAATAATAACCTTGCTTGGGAAGCACTGAGAATCCCATTACTAAGGTGTACTTTTCCCCCTTTATCTTAAATGTCATTTTCACATCTTAAAATGTACTCTTACGTTATTAAAAACTCCTGAAACACGTCTCATTTTTTTCTGTTCTCCCCCCAGTGTATTGCACCTTTGTTAATGATTGGAAGGTGGAGGAAGTAGCACCTAAGTGAAATTTGCCAGTGGTGACAAATTAGATAGTTGCAAAAGGTTCAAAGAGAGGGAGGGAAGACGAAGGCTGGGAAGGAAGAAGTCACACCATTCTGAATAAATAGTGAGAAATTGTGCAGCCACTGCATGAGCGACTCATGGGAAGCGTTAACACCCTAGCTTCCATATGCAATAATGCTGGCAAAGAAGACAAAGCTCACCAGGAAGCCCTGCTTTCTGTAGATCTTTAAGGGAAGTGCCGGGGACCGGAAGCCCTATTTCCCTTTGGGTGGAAGTCAAGGGATGCTTGTAGTGACCCCTTGGTGAGAGAATGCTACAGCACCACACAGCCATCTTGCATAGCCTTGGGGAGACCCTCTCCTTGGACCTGACCCTTGGAGAAGTGGGCTTGGCATGATTCCCACATAGGACCCTTCTTATGCTCCGATGTGATGTCTGTGAGGGCATCGGCAGGCACCTGCAGGACGTAGGGCACTCTTGGTGACCGAGGCCAAGTTGAGGACCCAGTGTTGGTGTTTCTCTGGCCCTTAGACTTCTGGATATCTGTGGGGAGCAGTGTACAGTAGTCATCCTTGTGCCTATGTGACTTTTTATTGCCTTCCTATCTTCCCTTCTATTGAGCAACTAACACGCACAAGAAACATTATTTCTACTCCTTGCATTCACCAGCAAAGCAAGTACAGTACTAGCATACGATTCCCAAAAACTGTATGTTTCAAGTATGGAGCAAGTGGGCCAGATTTACACAATGGGCGAGCGGGAGTCACAACCACCCGATTCTCAGCTCTGCCCTTTCCCCTGCACTGCTTCTTGCCTATGTTGTTGACTGGCTACTAATTGTCAGGCACTCACTGTGTCTGGTACATTTTCATCCCCATGAGTTGGTCCAATCCCGCTAGGTGCTGAATCCACCAGCTTTCCTTAAGTGTTGTTGCTGTTGCTGTTGTCGTCGTTACTGTCGGTCCTCCTCCATCTCCACGGCTTCTCTCTGAAGTCTCCAGCACCTCCCACCGTATTTTCCTGAGACTCGCTCGATGCCCCCCCTCCTTATCTTTTACCCCGTCCTCTGCAAAATGACTAAGGGAGAAACGTTCTCTCTTCATTTTTGTTCCATGTCATTGAGCTCGAATATCCACACAGTCCATTAACTAAACTTCAACACAATACCAGAAAGAAGAAATTGAGCTTCACATACATTCTGATCTGCTGTTTCTATACTATCTTTCACCACAGCTGAAGACTCCCGTCTTGACAGAGTACTAACTTTGTGAGATGTAGGAGGTGGGAAAAAATAGACACTGTAACTCTGAGAAAAGTATCTTGGGTGGGGGGGTGGGGGGGCCTTCCTTTTCTAAGTACCTTTCCCACCCACGCTTCAGGCAAAGCAGAATGTTACTAAATATTTTTTCCTAACATGTGTCCTTTGGATTCTGTGCTGTAGTAATATTTTTTAAAGCACAAATGTGGTTCTTCTCAACATTGTCTTTTTCATTGTCATGTTTGACATACATCAATTTATTTCTGAGGTGCACTTTAATAAGGGGTGGGATGATAATGTTATTTATTTTCAATGCTGGATTAGTCCATGCTTGTAGTGCACCATGACCACATTTGTCATGAGGAATTAGTACGAGCACATAATGCAGGTCAGGCCTTTTTTGTCCCCCACCCCCTGCTGCTCCTTCTCTTGGTCTCTTCCCATTTGCAAAAGCTCTCTTTCCAGTTTTTTCCTTCCATTCTTTTTTTATATCATCTCCTTTCCTTTCCCTCTCTCTCCTCTCCTTATATCCTTTTTCCTTTCTCATTTGAAAAAGATCTCCCTACTTCCAAATATCTGTCTTTTATTTTGCCCTTTGTATTTTATTTCTCATATAGGAGAAACCATGTGATATTAACCTTGTGTGCCTGTTTTATTTTACTTCATATATTTAATATTATAGTCTCAAGGCATGTCAATTTACCTATAAATGCCTCAAATTTATCATTGTTTATGGCAGAGTAGTACTCCACTGTGTATAGAAATCAAATAATAACAAATGCTGGTGAGGCTTTAGGGAGAAAGGAACACTTCTTCACTGTAGGTGGGAAGGTAAACTAGTTCAACTACTATAGATATCTCTTTGCAGATTCCTCAAAAAACAAAAAAATAGCAATTCCATTTAATCCAGCTATTCTGCTTCTGGGTATCTTCCTGAAAGAGTTAAAATTATATTACAGTGATTCACGCACACTCATCTTTATAGCAGCACTACTCACAATAGATAAATCTTGGAAGCAGCCTATGTGTCCATCAAAGATGAGTGAATAATAATATTTTAAAGCATATAAAGGATATAAGTCCTGGGACTATGGAACAGTAGCTGAGAGCCTTTCAAGGGGGTCTGTAAAACTAAAACTATTTTCCACCATACAAGTAAGGCAGGATTGTCCTTTCCACTCATGCAGTCTTGTGAGTGCACGGTGATGCCGCAATTAAAAAGCGCAAGCTGCAGCGGAAAAGCACATCAGCCCTGCCCCGAGCTGCCTGAATCAAGGCAAGGGCCGGAGTCCGGCGGGCAGAACGCGCCAAGTGTGTTTGCTAGGACCGCATCCCAGCAAGCAGCACAGCGCACTTGGGCAGTGACGTGGACACAGGACCGCATTTCAAATGCCAAGATTATTTAATCACTGCATCTGTAGTTGTAAAAATGATCAAACGATGAATGGCAGACTTCCACACCCTAGAGTGCCCTTGTTTTATGAGGGAGCGTCTTATAACCTAGAATCTTGTGGGACTGCTACTCATCTCCCATATTTAATAGCAAAATCACTGTGGCTGCCTGGGCTTCTGCCTGAATACCAGCTTGCAGGAAAAGTATTCCAGCACCTGAGCTCTGGAAAAATATGGTCTAAGAGTCAGGACTGGGTTTTTT